GCGTCCCGTATTCCCGGTGCAGAAGAGTAAAGCCTCGACGGCAGCAGAGGAGCCACCACAATCCCCCGGGGAGAGGCATCCGGGCGAGCAGCCGGGGGATGGGAGAGCCGGCAGCCGGCGGCCGAGCTGCAGGGGGTCGTAAAACTGGCGGTGCTCCGACCCGAACCGGGGGAAAGATGAGGCGGGTGGAGGGGAAGGGAGAAGGGAACCGGGAGGAGGCAGTGTCTGGCGCTAGGGTACAAGGGGCTGTTAGCTAGAGCCTGCGGGGGGCTCAGTGTCTGGGCCCCCGAAGGGGGAGGGGGAAAAGCGTCCAGAACCCAGGGGGAAAGATGGAGCAATGTCCGGAGCTGGGAAGTAGTGTCCGTTGTAGTGTCCAGCCCTGTGGGGGGCAGTGTCCGGTGCAGAGTCCAAGGTGGGCAGCTGTCCAAGCTCCAGAGAGGGTCGTGTCCGGTAGAGCGTCCGGTGGCCGGGGCCCGGGCCGCGCGCGCTGCGCTCCCTGCAGCCCGGGGACTGGCGCGCTAGGGGCGCGAGCACAGCGCCGGGACCCGCCTCCCAAGTCCCCTCCCCTTCGCCCCCCCCCGCCCCCCGGCTCCCCCAATCCCCCCCTCTTTCTCTCCTCCCTTCTTTACAGGGCAGGGTCCAATTTTCGTCACAGCCTCTTCTGCCCAATCCCTGCGCCTGGCGCCGGGCGCGGCCACCAATCAAGCTACGGGAACGGCGGCGGGTTGCATCACGTGCCTCTGGCTTGTTGACAGTGGGGCGGGGCCAGGGACTCGGGAGGAGGGGGCCGTGCGATGTGAGTGCAGCCTCGTCTCTGAGGTCGGACCGAGGGCTGGTGACGTCACGGAAGCCCGCCTGCAAGCTCTGGTTTTAACTCTTGGCTCACCAGCCTACACGTTAAAACCCTCCCGAGAGCAGCGTTGGAGAACGGCGGGCAAAGGGCACCGAGGGAGGTCCGACTGCTGGCCTCTGACCCCTGCCTGGTCTCAGGGTCCCTGAGAAAGGGAAGAGCCTTAGCTACCTGCCCCGGGCACCGCACTGGCGGTGGCCCTCCGCCCTGAATGAAGGCCAGCTCCTCCACATGAGTCACCTCCTTTTTGAAGTGCAGGCCGAGGCCGGAAATAAAATCCGCTTCAGAGTGCAAAGCTCAGCGAACTCCTGTGGGGACAGTGACTTGGGGTTCTAGGGAATGCTGTTGTATTCGGACGGCGTGGAGGCCTCTCGGGGTGCATTCTGCTGATTGGTGTAGGAAGGGGTTAACCGAGGCGCTAAGCGGGCGGGGCGGGGCCGCGGACCGGGCGGGGGGCCAGGGCCTCTGCGGGCGCGCGCGTGCGTTGCTGACTCAGCGGCGATTCCCGCGGTCTCCGGTGGAGGGTTCCAGGTTGCCCCCCTGGGGCTGGGGTGTGGGGCCTTTGGAGGGTCGGCGCCTTCTCCGCGCCTTCCGAGGTTCACGGCCCCTGGAGGCCGAGGTTCCATCTCAGCCGCCGGAGGCTCCGGGAAGGAAGGCTTAGTCCGCGCTGGGCGGGGCGGGCGGGGCGGGGCGGGGGCGTCCGGCCAGCGCGGACCTGGAGACCACCCTGCCCCGCCACGCCACGCCCTTCCTGCCCCGGGCCCCCAGGCTGCTGGCTGAAGTGGTCCCGGCAGCTTTGCTGACCGGATATTAAAGTGCGGAGAGTTGTCGCTCCTGAACACCATCCTGCCTGTCGTGATTGTGTAAGACAAAGACCAAGGGAATCAATGCGACGGTCCCTGCAGGTCACCCGGGCCTTGCCCTGGCCGGAGAGGAGCGTGGTCTGCACTGAGGTTCCCGAGGGATGGAGACACCACAACCATAGGTCCTCTTCCCGGTCTGGAGCCCAGGCTCTTGCAGCAGCTGGAAGTTCTCTCCGATGTCTAACCTCTCTCCCCGGCAGCCTCGGTGCATTAGACGAGAACCACAGTCACCTCCCCCCGCCCCCCACGCCCAGGATAATGACTCTGGAAATTTGCAAATTGGGATTTTCTCCTTGGTTTTTCTCCAAGGTGAAAAACTTCGACTCAACTTTTTGCCTCCCCCCGCCCCCCGCTTTTCACCACAGAATTTTATAGAAGAAACTATAAAATGGTCATCTAATCCAAAAGCCCACCCAAAACGGGAATCTCTGCCCTGTCCCTATCCGCACACCAACACAAAGGCACACACAGCCCCCGGCAGACTCAGCCGGAACATTCCAGGGGCCGGGAACTCGGTACTGGCTAAGGCGGCCATTATTGGATAGCACTCGGGTTGTTCGAAAGCTCTTCTCCACGGCATTTCCAGAGGAACCCCGCCCTCCTCGCCTGGCAGCGTTCCCACCCCACCTCTGTTGGCAGCGCGCGGGTGAAGGTGGAGGAGGTGTCATGCTGGAGCTCCCACCCCCACCCAGGCTCTCAGCGCCTTCCACTGAGCGCCCCGCGCCTAGAGGCGGAGAGGGCGGGCGGGCGGTGCGGGACCCGCGGCTCTGCCCTGCTACAAATCACTTTCAGGTCAGTGACTCAAAAATAGTAACATTCGTTGGGCTGCATCTCATGTCCATGTTATCCGTTTAATGTGGCAGAGTCCGGAAGCAATTCCTTTCGGTCCCTAGTTCTTTTTCAGCATCCCCACCCCACTCCCCTTTCCCAGGCACCTCCCAGATGCGCTTCCTCAGCTCGCCCCCTCCTCCGGACGCGCAGCCCTAGTGGTCCCAATAGGAAGCACTGTGGGTCTCGGTGGGAGCCGAGCAGGAAGGAAGGCGGGGCCGCCGGGGGCAGCGGCCGCGGGGGCGAGGCACCGAGCTGCAGCTCCCACCCCGGAGCAGCCTCCGCAGGTCCTGGCGGAAGCGCAGGCCCAGAAAGGCGTAGAGCACGGGGTTGAGGCCGCAGCGCGCGAGAGCCAAGCCCCCGGTCACCAGCAGGGCCAGGTCCTTGCGCTTACTCGCCGGGCAACTCCGCTCGCGCGCGGCCAGGAGGTCGGCCGTATCCAGCAGCAGGGCCAGGCTGTAAGGAAGCTGCAGCACCACGAAGGCCGCCACCAGGGCCACCACCACGCGCAGCGCGCGCCGGCGCTCCGGCCCCCCCTGGCGGCCAGCAGCGTGCGGCCCAGCAGCGCGTAGCAGGCTGCCATGACGCCCAGCGGCAGCGCGAAGCCCAGGGCCACCTGCGCCACCGCGCTCGCCCCCTTCACGGTCTGCGCGAGGCCCTCGGGGAAGATGAGACGGCAGCGTCGCTGCCCTTCCCGCTGTCCGTCTTGGCTGAAAAGAAGAGCAGGCAGTGCCAGGAGCAGCGACAGCAGCCACACGATGACTGAGACCAAATGTGCTCTGCCCGGCCCCGAGGGCCTCGGTCCAGCCGGGAGGGCCCGCGTAATGGCCAAGTAGCGGTCGGCGCTAATGCAGGCCAGGAAGAGGAAGCCTGCATGGAAGGAGGCCGAGTAGAGGCCCGAGATGGCACGGCAGGTGGCACTTCCCAGACTCCAGCCCTGCAGAGCCCCCGCTGCGGCAAAGGGCAGGGTCAGGGCCAGCAGAAGGTCTGCCAGGGCCAGCTGCAGCAGGTGGGCGCAGGTGGGTGAGCGGGCGGCGTTTCGGGCTGCCAGGTGGGTAGCCAGGACCAGGCCGTTGCCTGCCAGACCCAGGGCAGCCACCGTCAGGGAGATACTGGATTGGAAGGCGCGACTGAATGCCTGGACATCCGCCTTGTAGCAAAGCTCTGGCAGAGGCTCAGCTGAGTAGGCCTCCTCATCGTCTCCAGAATATGGGCCCCAGGAGACCTGGAGAGGTCAAAATGAGAAAAGAGACCCTATGAGTCCTTATCTTCCCATTCACACAAAACAGGCTTTGGCTTTCCTTGCACCCCCCTTGCCTCTGCATCCAGCTTTCTGGGTGACCTTGAGCAAGCCACTTGCTCTTTCTGGATCTCAGTTGCCTAATATGTAGCAGGGTTGTTTGAAATAGGAAGATAATGGATGTGAAGCATCTGTGCTCTTCATAGGCCAAGGGTTTGTATTATTAATAAACCTGGGAGCTTCAGTTCCGCTTGCAGCGCCCTCTCCTGGAAGTACTCGCACACGCAGGCTTTGCCTCAGACTCCGTGGCCAGACTCTAGACTCCGTCTCCTTTCCCCTTTCCCCTCCCCAAAGCCCACCCCTACCGCCAGTGCACTGACAAACTCATGACAAGCGGGTCTCAAGAATTGGGGCTCAGGTCTGCCGTTGCACCTTGGACCTCTACGTTCAGCTCACTCTTCCCTTCAGCCCGAGTCCTGTCCCCCAACCCCAGCCTCACATCACCAGCCCCGTTTATCTGGAGGCCCCTGATCCCACATGGCTCCAGGAATCCTGTATAGGTCAGAGCCTGGGGGAAGCCTGTCGCCAGGTGTGAAATCCCATGCCTTCACCTTACCCTCCCTCTCTGTAATCCTTCCTCCCCCCTTCCCCCACTCCCACCTGCTCTGTGGGCTCGGTCCCCATCTCTGGCTACGCGGGTTTCTGAGGTAAAGCCACCAGGGAGAGAAGTTAAACTAGTGGGACAGGAAGGAAGGGGCGGGGAGAGCGGCCAAGAGGGTGGTGGGTGTTAGGGTCTGTGAGCCCTCTCTAACCAACTTACCCATTCCACTCCCTAAAAAACAATTTCCCTACCAGTAGAAAGAGAATGGGTTTTAGAATATCTCATTTGCTAGCTACCTGTGTGATGGTGTTTTTTTTTTTTGTGTGTGTGTGTATGTGGTTTTTTTTTTAACCTCTCTGAGCCTCAGGTTTTTTATCTGCAAAATAGAGTAAAATAAAAATGCTGAATTCACAGGATAATGAGGATGCCTGGTAAGGGTGCTTGCAACATCCTTTGCCTTCGGAAAATGTTAAAATCTTTTACATACTCTTCTCCCCATATCCAGCCCTCCGCCCCCCTTTGGATTTTTCAGGGACCTTCCTTCCCCCTCCCCTGCGACCACAGCCACTGCCAGCCTCAGGTTATTCAGGGGTATTTCCCGATGCCTGGAGGCCTTTCTTACCCCCCGCCCTTCACAGCGGAGGGCTGAGGGGCCGTGCGCTGGCGCGGAGTCCGGAAAGGCAGCGCTTCTTTAGAAGAGAGAGGCTGGGGAAGGGGGGAGGGTGAGAGGGAGAGAGGGGTGGAAAGTAGAGAGCAGCTTGGTACCTGGAACGGACTGAGAGAGGGGGGGCGAAGGGGAGAAAGGGTTGGGGAGGGGTAAGGGAAGAGGGGTGGGTGGGTAAGGAGGAGAGACAGTGACCCGCTGAGAGCACCAGGAGAGCTCAGAGCCGGAGCCGGAGCTGGAGCTGGAGCCCGAGCCCGAACTGGGCACTGGGAGGCGGCCGCGGAGACCCTTGAGCCCTGCAGGATGCGTCTCCGGCTCTTCTGCATCCTGCTCGCCGCGGTCTCAGGAGCCCAGGGCTGGGGCTACTGTGAGTTCGGGGCTCGGAGGCGGGCAGGGTTGGGCCCGGGAGTTCAAAGCACCGCATTGCGGCTGGGTGGTCGCCGGTCCCTTCCCCGCCGGCGCGCGCTCGCTGGTTCGCTTTCGTCCTTCCCAGCCTCTCCCCCACGCTCCGCAATGCAGTTCGGCGGCCGGAGCGCGCGCCCGGGGCTGGGGTTGGGCTCGGAGCCGAGGATAGAGTCGGCCCGGCTGGGATTTGGCACTACGATCCAAGCCAGAGCTAGTGCCTCGGTTTGAGAGTTGGGGATAAACGTGTTACTGGTGACCCGGGCTAGGATTAAGGTTTTGCCAGGGGCTGGGTTTGGGCTTGGAACTGGCCCAGGGGCTAGGGTTTGGGGTTGGGGGCTGGACTTTGGGACTGGGATTCAAGGTGGAGTTGGTGCCAGATTGATGCTAAGGTTGGACACAGAACTGGTGATGGTGTCAGGACTGGCTGGGGTTGGGACCAAGGCCTGGATCTGGAATGGGTGCCGGTTTGGGGATGCTGATGGTGGGACTGATGCTCAAGCTGGGCTGGATTGGTGTCTTGGGCTGACTCAGGTTCTGAAAGATGCTGAGTTTGAGATTGTGTTTTGGGGAGTACTGAGCCCGATTAACACCATGGCAGGAACAGGGCTAGGGAGGGTCTGGCCTAGGAGTTCCCCCAGAAGAAGATAGCCTCCCCTGAGTGTGCCCCAGTTGCTGCAGCCCGGGTTGAATAGATGGCTTTAAGTTAGGGCTGGGTCTGCTGCTGGGGACCTGAGAAGGAGGAGCTCCAGTCGCTCAGTGTGCGGGGCCTTGGGGAAGACCTGGGAGGGGCTGACCTGTCCACTACGTCTGTCCCCCCAACCCAGACGGCTGTGATGAGGAGCTGGTGGGGCCCTTGTACTATCGCTCCCTGGGTGCCTCCTCCTACTATGGGCTCTTCACGGCTCCACGCTTCGCCCGACTGCACGGTGAGCCTGGCCCCAAGGAGCGGGGAGGGACTCTGGGGGGCTGGGAGTAAAGGGGGAGCCAGTAGTGAAAGCCCTGGTCCCCTCTATAGGCATAAGTGGATGGTCTCCCCGGACTGGTGACCCGAATCCCTGGCTCCAGATCGACTTAATGAAGAAGCACCGGATCCGGGCGGTGGCCACACAAGGCTCCTTTAACTCTTGGGACTGGGTCACACGCTACATGCTGCTCTACGGTGACCGAGTGGACAGCTGGACCCCGTTCTACCAACAAGGGCACAATGCGGTACTCCAGCTCCTGCATACACTCTTGGGGAACCTCCTGTTTTGCAGCCTGGGCTGGGCATTAATTAGCTTGTGGGGAAGGGGAGGGGGCAGGGGGGAGGGCACAGGTTAAGAGCAGTGACTTCCACTGGGAGACTCTGTTCAGAAGGACTGTGAGCTCACAGGTGGGCAAGACACTCCCGGAGGACAGGGTTCCACAACCTTAGAGAGCTTTGAAGGAGGTGACACCTGAGCTGAGCTTTGAGGAAGTGATGAGATAGTGGGAGAGGAGATAACTGTGTGCCTAAAGCCCTGAAGGCGGGAGATCAAGGAGCGTTTGCT